AAAAAAAAAAAACTTTTTCGGGGGTTTTTTAGTAAAAACCACAAAAAAAAAAAAAAAAAAAAAAAAAACAAACAAAAAAAACCCCCCAAAACACAACAAAAAAACAAAACCCCAAGTGAATTAGGTACTGGCCTAGCTATCTCTTCTGTAGGAAATGAGGTTATGGAAAGATCAGGACTCAAAAGCAGGGTGAGACTCAAGTCTTCAGCAGCACGAAATACAAAACACTTGAGCAAAATTGGGGGGCTCATCATTGTAAACCACAGCTCAGACAGCAAGTTTATTGATTTATATTTGTATTAAACCCCATTCCTCCATTTAAGTTACCTTCACATCTCTAATGAGAAGGCAGTGAGCTCAAGACACCCTACTCATGTCTACTGACAGTAATAACACAGAGCCTCACCATGGCTGGTATCTCAAGGAACCAGATGCTGTCAGGAGCAGAAATATTCTGCTTCAGAGAAATCCTTCAGCAAGTCAAAGATAACGTAACTGGCAGTCTTGTTTGGCTATCTCACTGGGCTATGTCTTATGAAAGTTATTTCATGGGAAGCCCTTCCTAGAGTTGGAAAATACAGTTAAGACCTCTCCCGTATCTCTTTGCCAAATGGAATAATTTCTTAGTTATTTCTTTCCTCTGTGGAAAGATTCAGGCTTAAGCCCTAAAACAAAATAAGAACTTCGAGAAGGCAGTTAAAACACGTCTCTTAGGGAATTAACAGAATGTACTTACTTTCGACTGTCTACAAGCTTGGCGGTGGACTGCAGTGATGGAAACTGCGTATCACTATATATTTCTGGTGGTCCTTGCTGTGCTCTCCGTGGCCTGCCGCCCTCCCTGGCACCAGGCGGCCTGTATACACCACCAGTCTGAACTGGTTCTGGGGTTTCTGTAACTAGTTATAAGAACAAGATTTAGACAAGAGAATAAGTTTGCATTCATAAGTTTGCATTTAAGGAAACACACACACACAAAAAAAGAAAAGAATCTTACAAGTATGGTTTTGCACCTTTTAAAGCTCTGGAAGCAAATATTTTAGGCAAGGCAGGAAATCAGGTGTCACCTAATTTAACCTATACTTAGTAGTAAAATTAAAATGTGGCTCCAGTGTATTGCCTCACAAAGTTCACGGAATCAAAACCGCTGATGAGGACTTCATGTTCCTTATTTACAATTTATTAGCGGCTTATATTTAAAACTAGAGATTTAAACTCATAATTACATATTTGCCAAATCTTACTTAAAGCACCTCACCAGATGCAGAAGAGAATATCCAAATAGTTCGTATTTAAGGTAACAATCTACAATGAAATAACACTGATTAATTAACTTTACCTCCTTGCCTGTACAAACAAGAAAAAACACCGCAGGCCATTTTTCAATGAATTTCTCAATGGAAGAGAATAATCTGAACTCAGATTGTGGCTAAGTAGTTTATCTCCACTGATGCTAATAAATTGTATTTAATCAAAACTAAAGTCCTATCCCAGCTAAAGAATCAATTTTGCAATGTCACGTCCACTGTACTCTAGAACTGATTTGAAAAGCGTACTACTAACCATGGAACCCTACTCAAGAACTGCCAAATTAGACATCAGGTATTGGCTGAACATCCATTTAATTGTCAAAGCAATATTTTCAGATCAACAGAAATGCTTCCAACAGATATTTTGCAGATTGCAAAGCAGAGGGACCTCCTTCAAAGATGGAACGCTTCCCTCAACCCACTTGAGAAGTCAGAAATAAAACCCCCTCCATTCGTGTTGATTTAGAGCACCCGATAGTACTATCAGTTCAGTTCCTCAGATCCCCTCACAGGAAAAATTCCTCATGTGCTAGTATGTCAAACAAGCCATTAGTATGTTAGAAGGTGCCTGAATAGGAACTGCTCCTTAAGCTCTACCCTCTGAGCAGCTTAATTCAACCTGATATGCTTCTGATTGGAAAAAGCAACAGCTCTGGAGTTAAATTTACCAATTGGTTCAACAACAGGTGCTGGTGCAGGAGCTGACTTGTTCCAAGGACCAGATGATCTGTCTACACCACCACCAGTCTCCTCCCAGTTGTCACCAGGTTCTTCTCTTTTTTCACTTTCATCATCTTCTTTTTCACTATAAAAGAGAAATAATAAGTAGCATTTTACAAACAGAGGTTTAAGGCTTGCCAGAGATTACACAATCATCATAAACAAGACTTCATGGCTACTGTACTGAAGATACTAGATTTAACCATTAGCCCTGTAACCACTGTATTAGTACTTCCATCTGAACAATTTTTGGTACATTGCTACATGACTTGGCAACTGAGAAGGAAAAAAAGTTCTTTAAAAAAAAAAAGACAAAAACTGTACTACGTGATCAAATAAATTGATTTCTTATTTTGAGCTTAAAGACCTTTTTCGTACTAAGACAGTCACGCATTTGGAAGTGATGAGAAGATAAAGCAGGAAAGGGCTACAAGTCCAGCTTCCATAAAATGCTTTACCCAAGAAGAAGAAATTGTGGAAAAGTAGTGACAGAAAGCAAGTCCTGAGCAACCTTTCCCTATAACCACAACCACCTGATAAACACTTTTATATTACCCATACAAATATAATCTACAAACCAAGACAGATTTTTTTTTAAAGCAGGCAATCAAAAAATAGACAGAAAAACCTACCATTTTTTTAAAGATAAATCCTATGCAAAAGCCTGACTGTATTTTATTTAGACTATTTTATTTTGCATAGATATAGTCAGAGACTCAAAATAATCTGCTAGACAAAGCTACTACAGAAAGCTGTGTGGTATAATGGGACATACGTGGAGGGTGAGGCTGTTAAAAAACCCAAGACACTGATCTGAACAGCAGCAGCAAAGTGTGAATAGAGAAGTAGTTTATAATACACCAAATCCTACTAATCACGATTGCATAAGCTTTCTGTATAAGTAACAATCAGAGAACAGTTAAAAATACCTGTCATTTCTGAAAATTAAACGGCCTTTCACTATTCATCCAATTAGAGTAACGATCATAGTAAGCTGGACCATGGACCTAAACACATCACTGTCCTATTTTAAACTACAGTCAAAAGCAGATGCCTACAGCCTAGCTAGAACAGAGTAAGTATACATAACATCCCACCCCCGCCAGATACTCTGTCTTATTTTCAGCAAAAGGATCTCCAGAGCTGTATAATTTATAACCTCCAGTGGGTTTTTCTTCCATTTATTTCCCCACTCTCCCCTTGAATCCACTGAGTGGTTAAAAAAAAAATCCTGTGGCAGAAACTTCCACAGGCCTGAAAATCTGCCACAGCATCAAAAGCATTCAGAATGCCAGCCTTTATCTGGAAAACCAAAGTACTCGCTTTTCAAACAGTACTAGTAGTCAGTGAAGCAGCAGCCCACTTGTTACTTGTCCATTCAGACATGTGATTATCCCCTGTGACGCTTCAATGGTATGGAGAGCGTGTGGACCAAATACGTGCAAATGGCCTAAAAGGACTAGTTAACTGAAAGGGAAGTGGGTGTAGGGGTGTGTGCATGTGTTAAAAAAAATAAATCAATCAAAGAATATGTAAGACCTGCTCAGACAGTGAAGAAAGCATCTATTGTACCCATTACAGGTAAGATGATTTTAAGATGGCGTTATTCTGAACATCATCAATACCTGGACAATGAGGATTACATGACATTCTCAGTCTAAGACCAAGGTCATAAAAATCCTTCTTCTGACCTGATGAAACGTTTTTCTTACCCAGGACAGACTTAAGTACTTTGGACCAGACTACAGGAACAATCTCACAAAAAAGCAAACAAAGGATCTTGGATGAGACTCATAAATGCAGTCCTGTGGGATCTTGTCATGGGACACTAGTTTTACCAATTATCTTTTTGGGGTTTTTGAAATAAAAATGCAATGGTTCAGGAATCCACTCCCCAAACTGAGATGCTGAATAGATTGAGTTAGATACCCTTACAACAGTCAAATGATTCAGTGGTAATTACTGTCTTGCACTCCTCTCTCAGAGAAATTCCTACTTTACTATCTTTATGGAAGGGAATGTTAGGCATTTGTAATAAAAATTTGAGTCCCAGCCAAAACAGATAGACCTAGAGTATCAACAGAGATTTAGAAAATAAAGAGAACATTGGCAGAGAACAGTCAAACCTAAGTTACCCTGCAGCAAACTTTTATACTAGCAGAAACACATCAAACCTGTGTTTAACTGGACTCCACAGAGGCAGCTCTGAAGAAAGAACACACTTTTTAGACAATATGTAATAATTATACAGGAGAGAAAGAAAAAAGAAGCAGTACCTTATTTGCATGGACTGAACTCTAAGACCACTATAATCAATTTCTTCCTTTTGCTCAAACTCCTTCCAGTCATCCTCTTCCTGCAAGAAGAGAAAAATATAAGTTGATACTTTCTTTACACTGAAAGTAGAAAAGAAGAATGTAACTAAGATAATATAAAGAAAACTAAGGGTAAAGGTGCAGCTCCATGGGAGACCCATCTGTGTGCACCACTGCCAACAGGGGAAAGGATTCCACTCCCCCCTCCCCTAACTTACTATACGTCATCTAGGATGCACTTAGTGAGCTGATTTTAACTCACTAGAACAGCTAAGAAATGCCTCAGCAAAAAAAGGCACTCAAGTGAAAGAAAACCACATCATCTCAGTAAAAACCCAGTAGGAAGTCAAGGGACAACACAAAGCAGGGACCAGCACCGTGCAGTCAAGACCAGGGAAATACAAGGGCAAGACCTCTCCCTTTTAGTAACAGTAAGCTTTTATGACACCTTGAATGCACAAAAAGCTTGAGATTTACTTTTCCGTCACCTATTTCATGAGCCAAACAGTAAAGAACATTTGGGATAGCTTACAGTGGATTTATGACAAAGATTAATATTTGTACATTTGACTTTTTCACATTCACAACCACTTTACAGCCTTTCTTGTTTCCTTAATCGTGTTTTTATAATAGTAAAAAGGTCAGCTTCAAAACCACAGCAATCTTAGCACACAAAAATAGCACAATACTAGTCTTTGGAGAGCACCACCTGTAAGGTTTTAGAACAGGAGTCTGATTATGTGTTTGGGGAAAGAGGGACCCACCTAAGTGGAGCCAATTTTGTCCTACTGTGTAATCAGCAGGTTCTGGGGTTATTAAGGTAGGCCAAAAATGGACCAGAACAGATAAGCAGTCCTCCCATGTTCCTAGTCACAGCTTTAAGACACACACAGCCTAATTAGTAGTTTACATAACTCCTACACTCTACATGAAATACAGTTATGTTACTTTAAATACGAAGACCTTGCAAGCAAGGTCTGCCAATGGTATAGCGCCCTTTCTGCTGAACAGCTGGGAATACAGCTTCTTTTAAGAGCCCTGTCCTAGGATCTTCTACATTATCAACCTCCATCAGGAAAACTTTGACCTGCTTTAAAGTAACAGCAGAAGTAAACAGCAACCGCATGTTATTGCACCGTCTGCTGAAGATTCAGTCTTCTGGAAGAGCATGAGTCTACAGCTCTAAAATGTTTTAGATTTCTTATATCCCCATCTCCATGGAAACATCACAGTTTCCAAACTAATGTACCTTTCACGTTTAACGATCTTTATTTCTAATCCAAGTACAAGCTTCAGCTAAAACCAGATGTTATTTTACAAGCAAATGAGCAGAAGAGCAGCTGAAAGATTACCACTGACCTTGGTCTACTTATAAAGTTACTGCAGGTGTGAAGCTCCCAAGTTAAACATTAGGAAATGCATTGTAAAATATACAGCGTGGCCAGCTGTTAAGGCACTAACTCAACTACGAGCACTTAAGCTGCTCTTGCACTCTCATCAGTAACAAACACCCTTCCTGGCAGAAAGGCAAAGCGCTCGGCGTAGTTTGTCTGCAGAGCCGGGGGATCTCATCGCCAAGGCCCACAGGCCACACGCCACAGAGCCGGGTGGCCTCCGGCCGACACCTGATGCAAATCCCCAGTTCCGGCCGCTACGTCGTGCCAAGGCCCAGAAACCGGGGCGGGATGGGCCCAGAAACCGGGGCGGGATGGGCAGAATCGAGGCCGCAGACCGGGAACTGGCCCCGGTTCCCCCCCGCCCCTCCACGTTTCGAGGCCGGGAGTCCGCCCGGGCC